CGGGCTGGCGGATGCTCGCAGCGGTCTCGGGCTGGCGCAGGCTGCGGCTGCTCTCCAGGATGTGTTTTGCCGGAGTCCCCGGAGCCGCGGCCGCTGCTCCGGCCCAGGCCGGGCCCGGCCCCGGCGGGGAGGTGCGTGCGAGCGGGGCCGGGCCGGGCCGGGCCGGGCCGGGCCGGGGCAGGGCTGCTCCGCGCCTCCGGCTGCGGGGTGGGCCCGGAGCAGCGAGCCGGGGGATGGGGCAGGAGCACAGCGGGGCTGCGGTCTGCCCGGCCCTCGTGGATCCGCCCTGCGTGGATTGCTCTGCTGGGATGTCCAGCGAAGGTGGGTTTGGCCAGCTGCTGCTCCCTGTCCCTTGACTCGGGGAAGACTGGAAAGGGCTGGGGACTCCCTGCTGGGTCAGTCTCTTGTGGAGGACTGCTCGGTCCAAGCTAGGCTGGCGATCTCCATCGGCTGTTCCATGCCATCCTGAGGATGCTGGGATGCTCCTGGACCATCATGGGATGCAGTCTGTGCTGGCAAGGGATGCTCGGATGTGGGATGCAGTGCTCCCAAGGGATGGATGGTGCAGTGCTGAAGGAAGACTTCTGACACCACGCCAGAATTTAGATCCACAAATCCACAGAAGGGTTTCTGCACCGTTTTGGAGTTTTGTTTTCTTTTTATTGCAAGTCAGAACAACCCTAAATCACCAAACCACGTCCGGATATGACCATGCAGGAAGCTGCTTCCCTCTCCCCTGTTTTTTGTAGGTGTAAAAACATATATCTGTGCTGAAGTTTGGTTCTTCTCTTTAATCCTGGGTCTGTGAAGGAGGCTTTAACCTGAGCTCACGCCGTTGGAATTCCCTGCTGCGCCAGGGAGAGGCTCCTTGCCTTCAATCGCTTCCAGATGCCATTCCCGGTCCGGCTCTTCCCCTTGCAAAATGTCTCCCCCAGCCCGCCGAAGTTTTCCCGGCTGGATTCGACATCCCGATATCCGGCCAGGCTGTGTAAGCCGAGCCTTAATTTTTTAACCAGAGCCCGATGCCAGTGGCGGGAGGTTGGAACTCACCCACGGCGTTGCACAAGCCGGAGCCCCGGGGTGGATCCTCCGGCGGGGTTTGAGCTGCTTGCGACATCGGGTGGTTCTTAAATTTCTTTTAAAATGGAGGTAAATGAGCTGGGATGGAGTTTGGGCTTTGGGATCCCTTGCTGCACCCTCTGCCCTCATTGCCAATGGGGCAGAGCTTCCCTCAGCCCCAAAACGGCAGGAAACTGAGGCAGGAGAGTGCTGAGCAAGAGTTGAGGAGTCTGAAATGCTGCTCTGGGGCTTTGCTGATGCTGAGTGCGCCCAGCCAGCCCAGCATCCCCACCATGGGAATAAAACAGCCCTGGATGGGCAGTGAACCCCCAGCACAGCAGCTCTGTGGCTGTTGGGCTCATCTGACCCCCCTGGCTTGTGTTCTGTGGGTGAAATTTTGTGGCATGAGGATGGATCAGACCTGTCTGTGTTGGGAATGGAGGAAAGCACTGAAGCACTGAGGGGAAAAATGAGGTGGAAAGTGAGAAGTGAGGGAGAAAAATGCAGAGAGGGGGGATGCAAGTGATCTTAGGGGATGCGGGACTGAACAGGACTAGGGTGTGGGAAGTGGGGTGCTGTCAGAAATGAAGGGCAGTGAGGTAGGGGTTAAATGTGGTGCTGCCTTCGAACAAGGCGTCAGGAGCAATGCCAAGGGCTGGGAATTCCTCGGGCCCATCCCTGTGCGATCACCAATGCTGCTTCCAAACCAAAAAATAGACGGGGAAAAAAAAAAAAGAATCACAAAGAACTTTCTGTTCGGGCATATTCGGGCTCAACAGGTTTTGCTCCTGGGCAGGGCCTGGTATTTGGGGTGGGGGAACTGAGGGCGGCCAAGGGCCCGGCTGTCAGAGCAGGCTCTTTATGCAACAAAAAGATGTGATTTTTCCTCAGAAATCTTACCCCGGGCTCCTTTTCCACTGCCTTTTTTCTTGTGGGGTGACGGCAGCCCTCAAGGGCTTGGGTGGTGCAGGCAGTGTGGGAAGGGATGGGCAGCTCCTGATGAAGGGCTGGGGGAGCTGGGGGGGATTTTCAGTTAAAATATGGATGAACACAAGGTTTTGGAGCCCTGACACCTCAGGACCTGCCCCAGGACCCGGTCCCACTGCCAAAGCCCTGTGTCCCCCACACATTTGGCTTCTTCAGCATCCTGGTGGTCCATTGGCATTTGCCCTGGAGTTGGGGCTTCCCCGGCCCCTTTGCTGCCTAATTAACAACGTTGCTGCATAATCCCCCCTGCATTTACAAGTTAAATCGACAGATTATCTGTATTATGCAAACGCAGCTTTAAATCTTAATTATTTATTTGCATGGGGTGTCTGGAAATCAGCAGCACTAAGCCTGGGGATGCTGTTCTCTTGGAAGTGCAGACTTGTGCTAGGAAATGAACCTAAAGTAGGCTTTTTTTGGTGTGGTGGGTGATGCTCAACACCCCAGCTTGGGAATATGTCTATTTTTTCTTTTATTTTTTTTTTTTGGGGTGGGGGGTGGTTATTGTGGGAGGTTCATCCTTAAATAGCAGTGGTTTATTTTTAGGTCGGTCGCTGCTTTGGATAATCTGGCTTGGCTGGGCAGCTTTGCTTTTCTTCCCATTCTCAGGGATTTGATAGAAATAGGTTTATTAAATGATTTTATTTTTAATAAAATAGTTTAATAAATTTAATAAATTATTAATAGAATTAAAGAAACACAGGGTTGAAGGATGGGGGTTCTGCTGGTGGTTGCCCTTTTGTGCTGTCCTGGACAGGGAGCATCCACTGGGATGACCATTAGTGAAACCTCTTCCCAAAGTGTAATTCCCACACTGGAATTACAACTTAGGCTCGGCCAAAGGATGGTTGGGAAGCAGCTGGATTATCTCCCATTAAATACTTGCTGAATGAATAAGCTGCTGGTCCCGGGGCCACAGCGACTGGGGTGACGTGAGGGATGTGCCGGGCTTGGAAACACCTTGCTCCTGCCAGCTGGAGACGTTTTCTCTGGAGGAGGATGAGCTCACCTGGATTTTATTCCCCTCCCAGCCTGGCTTTTGCTCTCTCCCCCCTCGGGAGGTAATTTTAACCGAGGGAGGCTGGCGCCGGCGATGGAGCACCGAGGGACGGACGGACGGACGGCTGCCTCCCTGCAGGTCTGGCGGGAGACTCCTCTCCATCTCCCCCTCCCCTATTTTAACAGCCCTGGGGAGATTCGGTCCTCTGTAGGGAGGATGATGACAGGAGGAATTTGGAGGCTCATCCCTGCCCTGTGTGTGTCCCCTCCTGCCTTTGCAATATCCATTCCTGAGGATGCTGAGCCCCTCAAAGGGCCAGTTCTGGCTGGCTTTAGCCTTTAGCACAGGAAGGGATGTGCCCACTGGGTTTTTGTTTTCTTTTGCTCAAAGCCATGAGCATCCTGGAGGGAGGTGTTGGGGAGCGGGCAGAAGGTGCCTTTTTCCCCCTCAGATTTGGAAATTATTATTTAAAGGATTAAACTGATAGGCAGGAGAGGAAACTGAGGCCAGCAACACGGCTGGAGAAGGAAAGGAGCAAAATCCAGCTTGTTTAGGGCTTCTTGAGGGGTCTGGGATTTGCGACGTTAATTTCCTGCTGGGATCAGCTGCCGGATGGGTTGAGCTGCCTGCGGCTCCTGACCTGGTGGATGCTGGAACCATGATGGGACTTTGCTGGACCTTGGGCTGGGGACAACCATGACCATGGGCTCATGGCAGGGAAACCACTCGGGTGGCTGGAAAACAACCCTGGGAAGAGTGGCAGCAATCCAGCTCCTGGCTCTTCCAGTCGAGCTGGAAAGACCAGCTCAGGGCAAGACCTCGGATCCACCAGGATCCTGCCTGGCTGATGTGCTCTAAGGTATCGCAGTCTCCTGCTCACCCAGGGCTGCAGGATCCTCCTGGAACGCCCAGGCAGCTCTGAACGTCCTCATCCTCATTTCCACGGGCAGGGGCTGATGCTGTGCCATGAAGTGCTTTAACAGGAGCTCCCCAGGGAGAGTTTAACCTTGTTAGTGGATCCTATAATTCACAGCTCTAAATGAAAAGACTCTGTGTCAGATGCAGCAGTGTTGGATGCTCTGGTGGATTCAGGGCTTCTGGAAAGACCCTGGTGCCAAAGGTGAATTTTGTGGCCTCAAGTGCATTTGGTTTGGCTGCTGATTGCCCTGAGCCCTTGGGATTAATTGCCCCTCAAGGCAAACAGTAATGGAGAGAGGAAGAAAAGGTTCTTTGGGTGGAGAGAAAAGGTGTGACACTGGGATGGAGCCATCCTTGTCATCCCGGGGCATGTGCAGAAAGCACGAGAAGAATCCATGGGAAACCTTCTCAGGCTCCTGGGTGGTTTCCATCCCCACCCCTCGGACAAGGATGTAGCCCTCTTTGTTAAATGAATGGGATATTAAGAGAGGAGCATGCTGTGGGGAAGGCTTGCACCTCTCTCATCTCTGCTTTTTCTAGCTGGAGGAGATGGAGAGAGGTGAGGAAACCTCTGGCCCTTCAGAGCTTTCCCTTGGAAGCACCTTCCCTGCCAGGGCTTAAGGAGCAGCTGACAGAGAAAGGCTTGTGTTCCTCACCTGCATCTCTGTTTCTTGCACTGAAATGAGCTGACATTCCCTCTCGTGTGTTGTTTTGGGGAGAGCCGTGGCTCCCACCGCACTCCTTCTATCCCAGGGGCACAGGGAGAAGAGCAAAGCTGCTGCCCTGGGGCTGACTGGGCTAGCAGTGGGCTCGCTCCACTGGCTGCCTCATTTTCCCCTGCCTGGGAGCGTGACCTGGGATGCAGAGCAGAGGCTTTCCCTGACAGGCAGCAGGGCAGCAGGGTTTCTGTGCGTGGCGTGGTTTCGGCAGGGCTTTTCCTCCCCCAAATCACAAGGATATTACAGTGCTGGGCTAGGATGTGCAGTTTGGAGAGTTTTGGGGGAAAAGATGCCGGAGATGTGGGAGTAAGGAGCATTCTCTGCTCAGGAGGGCAGAAAAGCTGCATTCCCCTTAACCTGGGAAAGGCCACCGCTCCATCTCGTGGGGTCTTCCTCAAAGTCCGAGTGAGTCACGGAAGGGGATTTCGGTGTGAAAGGCCAAGGGATGTTGGGGAAAGCTGCGGCGAGGTCTGCGCTGCGATCGGCCACACCTCCTGCTTAAAGAGCGGCGGGGGCCCGGCCCCGGGGTGCCGCTGCCGGCCGGGCTGGGTGGGAGGTGGGAGGCTTTTCGGAGGTGGGAGGCTTTTCGGAGGTGGGAGGCTTTTCGGAGGTGGGAGGCTTTTCGGAGGGCTCACACCTCGCTGCGGCCTGTGCCGGCTCGCCGGGCCCCGCTCCCGCTGCCCCGGCGCTCCCGCTGCCCTGCCCGGGGATGCGCAGCGATCCGTGCATCCTCCGGAGGAGCCTGGCTGCCCTGGGAGGCTGCAGCCCTAAGGATGTTCTCCCTTCTCCTCTCCTAGGGGAAGAGAGGACGGCCGCGTAGACCCCGCCGAGCTCCCGCCTGCTCCGCCTGGACCAAGAGGACGGGCCGTAAGTAGCCGTGACTTGCTGCCAGCTAATCCCCGCCCTGCTGGGACTGGCTTCAGCCTCTCCCGCCGCTGGGGATGCAGGAAAAGGTCTCCTTGGGATGGGAATTCTCCTCCCTGCGTGGGTTAACGGAGCACTGAGGTGATGCTGGGGGTGCAAAGCGATGGACCGGGTTATTTGCTGGGAGCCTCCCTCTGTACGTGAGAGAAAAGAGCAGAGAAAAACCCAGGGGATTTGGGACTGGACAGATCAGGCTGTGGGATTGCTCTGGGGGTTCCTCTCCTCTGAATCTGGTGCAAAACAGGAAACAGAGAAACCACAGGGCCAAGGTTGCACGTAAGCCTTGCAGGGGGGATGGCAACGGCAGGCAGCTTCTGAGCCCCAAAAGGGCCAAAAGCCATTGGGAGCAGGAACTCCCTGCAAGATAACTCAGCCTTGGAGCTTGATATCCCTTCATTTTCCACCCCTTTTCCCAGAATAGCTGGGGCATTGCTTGACTTTGGGTTGGGGATGGGCTGGAGCATCTCCATGGTTTAGTTTTTACCTTCCAGAACTGTAAGGGAGTGGTGCTCCTGGTGGGTGTTCTGCCTGCTGCTCCCAGGAGAGCGGAGAGAGGCTGCCTGCACCCTGCCATCCCCCCCAGCTCACTGCCTCCCCTTTTCTGCTGCTTTTTGGGGGGATTTAGCCCAAAACACGGGCTCAAAGCTGGGTTGCCAAAGCCACTTTTGCTGTTGCTGCTGCATCCCTGGGTGATCCCTGAGGATGGAAATACCGGAGAGTAAACACGGCACCGAGGTGAGCGTGGCAGCAAAGCGGGGCTGGACGGGGCAGGTAGGAGAAGGGTGTGCCTGGATCGATGTCAGGGGATCAGGGATGAAATCCAACAGGATTATCACTGCCCTCATCTCCTTAGCAGGGGCTTGTCACCCCATGGGTGCCCTGCTCTCTTCAGCAGCTTGGCCATAACCTCCAGGGTGTATCGAGCTGCATACAGCAAGAAAAGGTCTTTATTTTAGTGTTTTAAATAGCAAAAGAGTGATTAAACCTATATAATAAAAATAATAACATGTAATCTCTAACATTGTAGCTTAACTGTAGCCCTGTAACTCTGTGATGGCCCGGGGTTACCCCAGAGCAGTGAAATAAACAGGTATACCCACATAGCTGGTGGTTTGGGGCTGTAGGAAGGGATTTGTGTCCCATCCCTTTGTTTTTTCTGCTGCATGGATTGAAAAAAACATGGGGGGAGAGGAGAGGATGGACCCAGGGCTGGTCTGAATCGCTCTGGAGCACATTAAAGCCAACAGTGCCATGGGAAGGCAGAAGCAGCTTGGATTTATCCTGAGGACCTGTCACTGTGGAAATACTTGTTGTACCTGAGCTTATTTGCTGTTGCCACCTTCAAAATTGCAGCCTGGTCATGGGTAAATGTTTTGTTAAGACTCACATGCCAACGAGGGCTTGTTTCCCCTATCGTAAATCTTTGGCTGGGTTATTGTGTGCTTGGGATACCACGGTAAAGGAAACAGCGCTGCCTCTCCGAGTAAGAGGCAATTAAGATTCCTTTAAAGATTCCTTTAAAGTGACTCGCAGGGCTCTTAAAACAGGATAGATGTAGGTATCAGTGCACAGGCTGGGCTGGCTCCACACCCTCTGTGGGGTTGTGCCCAGTGTTCAGTGGAGTTGATTTTTGCAGTACTGTGCCCTCGTGACCCTCTTCATGCCCCCAGCCCACGGCACTGCAGCTCCAGCTCTTGACATTGCTCTGCGGTTTTTGGCATCCCTTGCCCCCTCCCAGCATCCCCTTGGTGTCCCTCTTTCCCTGCCATGCAATGTCTCTTGGAGGGGGCTCAGATCAGACCCCTGCTGCCTTTTGGGCCTGCGGTGGTGGTTGTTGCGATCCCACAAGGATTTTCTCCCCAGCATGGAAAAAAAACTCCCCGAGCATCGGGAGCTTGCAGCGACCGGGGCAAGGAAGATTTGGGATGCCAGGCTGGGGATTTGGGTGTCTTTGATGCTCTGCCAAGCCCAGGCAGTGCCTGCAGTTGGCTGGATCCTGTCCCAGTTGCGCTCAGGCTGCGGCAGGCGCGGGTTGTGCCGGGGCAGGGCGCGGCGCGGGGGCGATCCCGGCCCTACCGCGTGTGGAACACCCGCGGGACGGGGCCTTGGAACACCCTGGGGCTGTAAACTGCTTCTGTGGGGGACATTGCTGTCCTCCAGGGAGCACAGGATCTGCCCTGCTGGTTTCCTGTTGTGCCTGGAAAGCTTGGGAGAGATGGTGTGGCTGGGACTGAAGGGGTCTGTGCTGGCCTGGCTGTCTGTCTGTCTGTCTGTCTCCCTTTGGTTCCCACTGCTGAGGGTGAATCCTTAGGGACTGTCAGTGCATCCCTTCCTGCTATCCAGCTCTCCTCCAGTTAAAAATAAAGGCATGTTTTTTTGGGATAAAGTGTTGGAGATGCTTATTTTTCAGTGAGCATCCTTAGCCAGGGAAGCTGGACCAGGCAGTGGGTGGCTCCATGTCCCGTGGCCATGTGGGATGGGACGGTGGGAGCACAGGAGAGGTGTCCTTGCCTCGTGTCATGCTTTTCCACAGGTTACCATGGGAACATAAAAGTACCAAGCCTGCTGGTCCATGATGCTTTGCCAGGATGGCCTGGGATCACCATCCATCCGTGCTGGGATGGTGTGGGAGAATTTATAACCACTCCCCACCTCCATGCTTGTTCCATGCCTTTAAATTTCTTTTTCCCCTTTTTTTTTTGGCTGGGAGCAGCTTGGCAGGTGCTTGCTTCCACTTTGTGGATTGACATGACTTAAATCTGGAAATGCTGGAGCCATTGAGGCCATGGGAGGAGATGGGAATGGGTGGATGGAGATACAGGGATGAATTCCCCCCTGGCAGGCGGGTCAGTCTGTATGGGTGTTGCTGGCATCTCCCAGGGGGACATGGTGAAACAGGGAGGCAAAACTCTGCTCCAGGTCAGAGGCAGACAGGGAAACTCCACGAGGCTTGGACATGAGCTGCCTCTGCAGCATCCTGGGATGGGGCTTTCCCAGAACACAGGGTGGGGAAGGGAGTGGGAGATGGGGAATGGGCCATGGGGCTTTTGGATCCTCTGTGCAGCGATAATTGCAGCCTGCGGTGCTGTGGGGGCGCATCCTCCAACATCAAAGAAGGGCTTTTCCAGTCACTTCTTCCAGGTGTGGGGAGCCGAATCCAACTGGGACTTTCCCCCCAGCTTCAGGGCTTGGTGGAGCAGGCAATGCCCTGGAACAGCCCTGAGGGAGCGAGGGTTGATCCCAGCGAGTGCTGAGCCTCTCCCTGCTGGACAGGGATGCTGCAGTGCGGGATCCAGGGAGGGTGTTGTGGTGAGGGGTCTGTGCTGGGGGATCTGAGGATGCTGTGATGGACTGGAATGTTGTGGGGGCACTGAGGATGCTGTGGTGGGACAGGGATTCTCAGGGAGGCTCGAAGGATGCTGTGGGGGCTCGGAGGATCCTGTGATGGGATGAGGATGTCAGTGGGAGGGAACTCTGAGGACATTGTATGGGACCAGGGATGCTGCAGGAACAGGGATATTGCAGGACTGGGGATGCTGTGGGAGGGCTCTGAGGATGCTGTGAGACCAAGTTGCCATGGGGTGCTCTGAGGATACTGTGATGGGACAGGGATACTCAGAGGGTGCTGGGAATACTGTGATGGGACAGCAATACTCAGAGGGCACTGGCAATACTGTGATGGGACAGGGATGCTGTAGGGGACTCTGAGAGTGATGTGATGGGACACTGTGAGGGATACTCAGAGGGTGTTCTGAGGGTGCTGTGATGGGACAGGGATGTTGCAAGGGGCTCTGAGCATGCTGCAAGACTGGGGATGCTGTGGGGACCAGCAGGACCCTTTGGCATTGCTCCCTCCAGCAACCCTACAAGGAGGACACAGGACCTGGCTCAGGGTGTTCAGCTGCTTTCAGCAGCTGCTCTACTTTGGGCTGTGGATCTGGGAGAGCTGTGGGGAGTTTGAGCTCATTCCAGAGGCACCAAGGGTGCGGGGGCAGCCGGGTGTGCTCTGTTTTGCTCCGCATTCCCTGATCGCTTCACTAAACAACGTTCCTTCTCCTCAGGGATTATAAGCCGTGTTTGCCTTAGATAAATTTTGCATCAGGCCCAGCTTGTGCATGCAAGCCTGGGAAAAGATCATAAAGCTGTCAAAAAATATTATTTAAAAAAAGCTGGTATGTAAAGGCAAACATTGTGGGCAGAGCAGATTTTCCCAGTGCTTTCACTGGTGGAAGGGGTGAAGTGCGCTTGGTTGGGTGTTTTGGCACCCAAGGATGAAGCTGGGGGTGAATTTGGTGCTAAAATTAGGTCCTGATGCCCAGCAATTTCCCAGCCCTGGGCAAACAGGGATAGCCAGACCCCCCAGGAGCAAACCCAGCCTCCAGCTGAGGCAGTGGATTTCCCCTTGGGGCTTTTGTGGCAAGTTTCACTAAGAACAAAACTCTCCAGGAAGCACAAGTTGCTTTTCATCTTTTCCTAATTTTACTTTTCCCAAGCAATTGTAATATGTGAAGGGGTGAGACCCCGCTGTGCCTTCTCCCTGTGTTGCTCCCACTTGTGAAGACCCAGCTGTAGGTTTCATCTTCCCAAGCAGGAGGGTCTTGTTGAGCTGGAAATACAGATGCAGGATGAGAGCCAGTTGGGGTGGGGAGTTGCTTCCTCTTTCTGGAGCTCCCTGAAAGGGGAGGCACAGTTATCCATGTTTTGTGAAGGAGAAGTGGTTCAGAGGGGGGCGCTTTCCTAGGGAACCACCTCACCTGCCCCATCCCTCTGCTGTCAAATGGACACAATTTTCTTTTTCTAGTGTCCTGTCCGGTTGCTTTTAGTGTGGTTTAATTGTCCTTAATTGCCTTTTAATTGTCCTTCCTGCCCTTTTAAATTAATTGCTCTCCTGCCCTTTTAACTTCAGAAGCCCCTGACAGGGAAAGGAAGAGTCTGGCTCTTGTGGGACCATCTTTGGTCCCATTTCTCCTCGTTCTTGATACATTTTTGCCCGCAAACTCAGTGTTCCTGGCTGGCTGAGGCCGTGGCCCTGCCAGGTGTTTGGTAGGTGTCAGGTTTGTTAGTGGCACTTCCTTGGGCAGGGAGGGGGTGAGATGGGTGTCCTCCCATCTCAGGTGAGTAATCCCTGGAGGCTCTGATGGGCAGGCTCTGATTGAGGGACTTTGGATCGCCCAGCCCCGCGTGCACCTTTCCCCTTGGCTGGCATTCAACACCCTGAGACGTGGCTGGTCAGAGCCAGGAGGAGCTCAGCTACCAGGGGCAAAGCCAAGCCCAGCTCTGAGCCTGACTTAGAGCAGGATTCACCCTGGGAGCAAAGCCTCCCCTATACCCCAAAGCCTCTCCCTGCTGGTAAGTTCATTTTCCGTCCTTGCCATGTCCTGGTGGGATGGGATGAGCTGATCCTGGGATGGCTCCAACCACGGCTCTTTGCTCCTTATTCCAGGAGCAAGAGGTTTCAGAGGAGCACGAAAGTGTCCCTGCTTCCCTGGGCAGTGCTTGTGTGGGCACTAAGCTCTGACGCTTCCTTTCCCCAGGCCGGGATGGGTGGATCCAAGGCATTGGAGGTTCCCCAAGTACGTGATGCTCTTTGGTTTGATCCTGCTCGGCTGCTCCTGTCCTTTCTGACTGGCTTTGTGGTGGCACGTTGGACTTTGTACCTGTTGGTGCCAGGTGGATCCTTAAGCTGGTTTTAAAGTCTCCGCCATGGGATTTTGTGGTTGAAACCCTACTGCGGGCTTGTTTTTCCTCTCTAATTATTTTTTTTTCCTTTGGCCTCTAACCCGTAGAGCTGAAGCTCCTTGGGTAGTGCCGCTTGCTTGGCTTTGATAAACTCTCTAAACCAACCTTTTGGCAGCAAAGAAATGTGAATTTAAATAAATGAATCCTTTGGGAAACCCTTGTATCTGCTTGTCTGCAGCTGCAGATGGGCAAGCAGGGGGTAGTTCCTCTTGGATGGGGTTTCAGGGTCAGCTCTGATGGGTTTTCCCTGTTTTCCTGCTGCAGGTGACCAGCCACAATGAGAGCTCCGGCCCCTGCCTGATGCCTTTCCTGCTGATAAAAATGATCAACAAGTCTCGTGAGTCCCCCAGGGATCCCATCTGACTCTGTCCAAGCAGGGATGGGGAGCCTGGGGAATTTACATTTGGAATTCTGGGGGTTGGATGCTGCTTTGCTGTGGTTGCAGTTGTGTGATGGAGTGTTGGGGTATCAGAGAAGGTCGCAGTGGGGAGGGTGGGTCTGGGGACCTTGATCTCTGGGCTTGGGCACCTGGAACCCCTTGGACTTTGTTGCACAGAAATGGGGTGGAGGCACACGGAAAAAGTAATATTTGCCTAGGCTTTCATGAAAAGCAGGCAGAAGGAAACAGAAACGTCACAGTGGTTTTTAAGCCTGGGACAAAAGCACCTGACTCATCTTAGAGCTGCTCCTCCCTGGGCCATGGTGCCAGCCGAACCTGCTCCCTGAGGAGAAGGCTCTGCCATCCTGGGTCTAGCTAGGATGCTGTGGGACCCCACAGGCAATCATCTAAACACTTTTGCTGACACTGGTTTATCTCTCCCCCTCCCCTCTGGGCTTGCAGGAGGGAAGATACTCGGGGTGCTGGTGCTGTTTCTGGTGATGGTTTGGTACTCGATCTACCGGGAAGACAGGTACACACAGCTGTGAGTGCTTCTTACTCAAATTTAAAGGACCTCCTGCCCTTTCCCTCACTCCTGGGAGGCAGCTGCTTCCTACCCATCCCTCACAGGGATGCCAGAGCATGGCAGATTCCCTGGATCCGAGGGGACTGGGGAGCTGGCAGCATCCTTGGCTGCTGCTGGAGAATGGGGGACACAAACGAGGCTCCCCCTTGGTGTGTGGTGGTGGTTGGGCTCTGTGGGGTTTTTTGCAAATGCTGGTGCTTTTCTGAGCCCGGGAGTCTGGGAAAGCCCTGCTCTCTTCCCTGACAGAGATGGGGAAAGTGGAGTGTGAGGTTCATGAGCAGAGCAAGAGAGACCTCTTCTGATGCAAGGCTGCAAGCCCAGCAGAGAAATGCCCACGCAGTGCCGGCCTTAAATCCAGCTGGAAATCTCTCTCACAGCTTGAATCCCGCAGTGGGGATGCCTGGGGATGCCAGAGCCCCTTTCGCCAGGAGGGGGCTGCAGAGGAACAGGCATAATTTGATTTAATTAACCTCTTCCTTTACAGCTTTTATTTCCCTGTGCAAGAAAACAACAAGACAACGTGTCCCCTTGGGGAGGTGGAAAAGAAAGCGGCGCAGCTCATCGGGAAGTGAGTTTTGGGGCTGGGAGCAGGCAGTGGGGGGATGCAGAGCCAGGACCCCCCTCCCTGTGCTATCCCTGATCCCAGTCTCATTGACCCTTTGCTCCTTGGCAGCTACACGAGGGACCACCCACTGTTCTTGCAGCTGAAGGACTATTTTTGGGTGAAGACGCCGTCGCTCTACGAGCTGCCCTACGGCACCAAGGGAAGTGGTAAGCGTGACAATGCTCTGTGGGATCTGTCTGTCCGTCCTGCTGCTGCTCCTGGGGTTTCAACTTCCCTTTTCCTAAAGATATCTGCAGGTTGATTTTGTTTGGGACTTTTCCCAAGCTATTTTATTGGTTTTTAGACTCTGCAGTGCCTATTTCCTCACCCTGAGTGCACATGGTGCCTCTGAAAGAGTTTAGGGTGGGCCAGGTCTTACTAAGCCCCAGAGACAGATTATTTGCTTGAAATTTGGATTAACAGTAGGAGCAAATTTGGCAGGGATGGGGCAGCACTCAGAGTGTTGTACCAGGCAGGAGCTGCCTTCCTCACCTTCCTCACCCTGTCTTTGCCCTTGCTTTGCAGAAGACGTCCTGCTACGCCTGCTGTCCATCACCCACTACTCCCTGCCCGAGAGCATCCAGAGGTAACACTGGGGTGGGTTTAGGGGCTTTTCTCTCTTTTGCTTCATCATTGCTCTCTTGGGGGTGGTTGCAATTTGTCTGTTGTGGGCCCAGGATTTGGCAAAATGAACCTCTGCAACCCAGGGGTGGTGGATAGAGCATGGGAAGGTTTGGAGACTGGACAACACCAGGTTTAACCCCCCAGGGGTTAAAATCACCCCAGTTTTGGAGCAGGTCTGGTTGAGACAGGGTTCTCTCTCGCAGCCTCAAGTGCCGGAGGTGTGCCGTGGTGGGCAACGGCCACCGGCTCCGCAACAGCTCCATGGGGGACACCATCAACACCTACGATGTCGTGATCAGGTACAGCCCCGGCCCGGCCCACCGCTCCCTCCCCAGTGCCACCGCAGCTGAGGCTGACACCTGTGATGTCCCAAAGGCTGAACAACGCTCCGGTGCATGGTTATGAGCAGGACGTGGGCTCCAAGACCACCATGCGCCTCTTCTACCCAGAGTCAGCCCACTTCGACCCCCGGACTGAGAACAACCCCGACACGCTGCTGGTGCTCGTGCCCTTCAAGCCCATGGACTTCCAGTGGATGGAGGCCATCCTTAACGACAAGAAGAGGGTGAGTGTGGTGGGGAACCAGGTCCAGCCCAGCCCTGGCTGCTCCAGACTCCAGCTGTCATGCCACCCCACCCTTGGGGACATCTGGGCTCTTGCAGGTTCGGAAAGGGTTTTGGAAACAGCCCCCATTGATCTGGGACGCCAACCCGGAGCAAGTGCGCGTCCTCAATCCCTACTACATGGAAGTAACTGCTGCTAAACTGCTCAACCTCCCCATGAAGCAACCACGGAAGATCAAACAGGTAAAGGGTGGGGATGGCCAGTCACCCTGCACACCCTGAGGGGGGACAGCCTGTCCCTGTGCAGCTCCCTGAAGGCTGTGGCTCTCTGTCCCCCAGAAGCCCACCACAGGGCTGCTGGCCATCACCCTGGCACTGCACTTCTGTGACCTGGTGCACATCGCGGGCTTTGGCTACCCCGATTCGGCCAACAAGAAGCAAACCATCCACTACTATGAACAGATCACGCTCAAGTCCATGGCCGTAAGTGTTTGCCCCACAGTTTTGTCCCCGTTCCCCCCACTTTTCCCCCAGGAGGGGGGATGGCAGCCCAGGGGAACAGTGCCAGGATGCTGAATGGTGTGGGAGGCTCTTCCCTCTGACTCCCCTCCCATGATGAAGGTTGAAGTCCACTGTTGGATGGTCATCATCCAACTTCTCTTGGTAGTTGAATGTCTTTGGAGGCACAGAGAGTTGGATACATCCCCAGTTTATGTGTGAGGAGAAGAGCTCGTGGACAGGGGGATTGGGTGGGGAGGGGTCCGTCCCTGCTTTTGGGGGGCTGAAGTCCTTTCTGGTGGGGTGGGCACAGTGGAGGGTGGGAAGGTGTGAGGGCTGGAAGGAAAGCGTGTGGCCCCTGCTCACCAGACTCTGGTGTCACCCCCTGCTCCCTGTCCTGCAGGCATCGGAGCACAACGTGTCCCACGAGGCCGTGGCCATCAAGCGGATGCTGGAGCTGGGACTCGTCAGGAACCTCACCTACTTCTGAGGGCGGCGGGGCCGTGCAGGGACACCGTCCCCTTCAGCGAGGGGACACCGTCCCCAGGGCGAGGGGACACCGTCCTGTGCCGTGAGGGGACACTGCGCTGGCAAGGCCAGAGTGACCGAGGGCAGAGCATCGCTGTCACCGCTGCCACCACGACCGGGGACTCCTGGAGCAGGGCCGGGGCTGGGGGCCGCGCTGGACCGCGGGTGCCCAGGGTGGGGCAGCTCTTGGGGGTGCAGGGAGCCCGGCAGGGCCGTGGCCCAGCGCCTTTTCTACTGACGCACTGAAGCTACCGAGGACTTGGAGGGGGTTTTTGGGGTAGGGGGTCCTCCCTCCCAGCGGGCCTGAGGGGGTGAGCCAGGGCAGGAGCCTTTGCCCTGGACATTCTCTTTCCCTTAATTCCCTCATACACTGACGAGGGCCCTGCTGAGGGGCTGATTTTGGGGTTCTGGCCCCTCCCCGCCCAGGGAATGGGAGTCTTTGGAGGCTGATGTTGCCTCCTCCCTGCCCTGGACCTCCCCCCAAATATTTAATTCCCTCCCTTTTTTTTTAATTTCCTTTTTTACTTGGCGGCCCTGTCCTGTGCCTTAGCGCTGGCGTAGGGACTCGTCCCCACAGCCCCCCTGGGTGGGGGCACCCTGGGGTGCTTGGCTTCAGGGTCTGCCAGGGCCCTTTGGTGGTGCAGATTAATTTAATTAATTTAAATGCTTATTTATGGTGGAGCCATCACCCAGGGCCCGCATGCCACTGGTGTCAGGGACAAGGGGCCTTGGGTGGGCTGGTGTTTGCTTGGCTCCAGGGGTGGGCATTTGGGATGTCCCCCCACCATGGAGGGGTTGACTGGTGCCTTCTCCCTGCTGCTGTAGGGTCCCCTCTGCCCCCGTGGGGCTGCAGGTGTTGGGGGGACCCATGGATGGGGGTGTTGGGGCTCATGCTGGCACCCAATAAAGTCCTGGTGAGGCTGGGATGGGCTGGGTGCTCCTGGGGCATGGTGGGGGGTTGTGAGGGAGTTTTGGGGCTGTGAGATGCAGGGAGGGTAGCCTGTGCCCGTGCCCTTGTGTCCCCACATCCCCTTACCTGTTGTGACGCCCCATCTCCTGGCTCCCACGTTGGGGTTGTGGGGTGCCCCAGCTGCCCCGTGCCTCAGTTTCCCTCCACCACCGGCCATTTCTGCCCCCATGGGGCCTGCCCCAGGAGGCCACGGCACACCCAGGCCAGGTGTGTGCCGGGGCAGAGTGCCAGGGAAGCCGATGTCCCCGCGGGGTGGCCATCAGCCCAGGCGTGCCACGAGAAACACCTCTTGTATTGACCGCGGTGCCGCGATACAGCGTGGAGAGGCCCTTCCCGGGGAGTCCCTGTCCCGCCGCCGTCCCCCACCTCCTGTCCCCCATGGCGGGACCCCCCGACCCCCCGACACGGACTCTATAAGTATGGACACCGAACACCACGAAGGAAAGGGAGGAGCCGGGGGGGAGAGGGCAGCGGGGAGCGGAGGCGAGCGGCTGGGGGCGCGGGGTGCGCGGTGGGGCCAGGGCCGTCCCCAGCCCCGCGGGGGGAGCGGCTCCCCGGGGCTCAGCGCGTCCTCGGCGGGGTTGTGCTTAGCATGTGCCAGGGAGGGGGGATGCTCGGCCGGTCCCCTGCCCCGCAGCCCCGCTCCGGGGGGCTGGATCCGGCTCTTCCCACGGCCGCTGCCGGCGGGCGCCACTGTCCGAGCGCGGAGCCCACGCGGAGGGTCCCGAGCGTCCCGGAGGGGCTCAAACGTGCGTCTGCATCCGCCTCTGCAGGGGCCGGCTGGGGTCTGAGTTTTGGGAAGACGACTGGGAGTGGTGGGAGGAGGATGCGGAGGCCTTGCTGGCCTTGTCGAACTGCACGTAGCCGTCCTGCTTGCCGCTGCTGCTGATGCTGCTGTCGCACTGGGTGTCGAGGAAGGAGCTGCTGTCGCTCATGGAGCCGCGCTGGAACTCGCGCTCGCACAGCTCGATGGAGCTGCTGCCCATGCCCAGCACGAAGCGCTGGCTGTAGTCGTAGAGGCGGCTCTGCCCGCTCAGGGTGCTGTAGATGTTGGTGAAGGACATGCCCGTGGGCACCCGCTGCTTGCCGGCTGGGCGCAGGTCAGCCGGGCAGCCCGACAGCGAGATGGTGGGGGTGGAGTGGTGCTCCTTGAAGGTGTTCACGCTGTAGTAGCCGTTGGTGGGGTCCTGGGCAGTGGGAGAAGCGGGGCAGGTTGGTTGTGGCATCCCTGGTACCGTGGCATTTGGGGTGTCCGCCCTGCCCATCCACCCAGGACATGTGAGACTTATCAGAATCATGGAATATGCTGAGCTGGAAGAGACCCACAAGGACCATCCAGTCCAACTCCTGGCCCTGCACAGACCCCCCAACAATCCCACCCTGTGCCTGAGAGCGTTGTCCAAACACTCCTGGAGCTCTGGCAGCCTCGGGGCCGTGTCCATTCCCTGGGGAGCATGGGCAGTGCCAGCACCCTCTGGGGGAAGAACCTTTGCCTGATATCAAACTTAACCCTGCCCCGGTACAGCTCCAGCTGCTCTCTCAGGTCCTGTTGCTGGTCACAGAGAGCAGAGATGAGAGCTGTCCCTCAGGAAGAAGCTGCAGACCCTCATGAGTATCCCCTTGGTCTCCTCCAGGCTGAACAAGCCAAGTCACCTCAGCCACTCCTCATATGAACCCTCCAGACCCTTCCCCATTTTCATAGCCCCCCTTTGGAGGACACCTCAACAACCAAACCGTCCAGCAATGTCCTCTTGTGCCACCAGTGTATTCCCATCTGTTCAGCCCCCTCCAGGCCAGGACACAAGTGTCCCTTGCACGCCACTGTCCTGGCACCACACCTTCGTGTTAGCCTAAAAGCTGCTGGGGCCACAAAACAGTGCCAGCATGCCAGAGCCTCTCTCCCTGCACAGGGACAGCCCGCTGGGGCAGGCCACACCAGGGACATGGCCCAAGGACAGACAGCTGGCAGCAGCAGTGCTGGGTGAGGCATGAGCTGGTTCTGCCCGGTGGTGGGCACGGGGAGGGGTTCCCAGCACCCCGGGGTGCAGCCCCTCTGCCAGGAGGGCCGGGGGACCCCAGGATCCAACTCACCTTCAGGTTTTGAAACTCCTTCTCCTCCTCCTTGAGCACCTCGAGCTGCTTCAGCACCGAGTCCTGCTGGAACTCCCCCCGGTCCATCTAGGAAAGGACACAGGAGGCAGGGTCAGCATCCCACCACCGCCTGACCCCGCGGTCCGCATCGCCCCCAGGCCACGTGGGCCGAGCCCCACATCCATCATCAGCCCCAGGGCACTGGGAAATTCGATTCAAGGACTTGCCCAGAGAGTCCCAGCAGTGTCCGAGGGCGGATTCCCAAAAGCCACACAATTCCCTGGGTTACAGATTATTTTTCCCTGTTTAGGACAGAAAAAGGCAGGCTGGTGCAGAAAACTAATTATTTACCGTGATGAGGGCTGGGGCTGCACCCTCCTGCCCAAAGCAACACCCTCAAAATCGCCTGTTTTTTTTGTTTCCCTTCTTTTCATCCTTTCCTCCTCAGCTGAACTTGGCCGCCTCATTAGTTTTCCTTTGAAGGCTGGCTGTGATCGGGGGGAGGCGGAGAGGAGGGGCAAGGTGCACATTAATTACACCACAGCTTTAATTACCCTTCCTTCAGCACGCGGGGCTGTGCAGGAAGCAGGATAATTACCAACCAATTTCTCAGTTGCCTTTTTTTAGCTTATGTATTCACCGGACGCCTCCAGCCCGGCTTCTCTGGGATCACAGCCCCACATCAGCCCCAAAATCCCCTTTTATTGCCCAAATTCTCTCCTCTTTAAGATGGTAAGTGGCTGTGGAAATTCACCCCGCGGCACTTGCTGTTCATCTCCCGAAAGCCTTTGATGTGGCTGTTAAAGGCAATAAATTAAAGTACCTGAGTTTTCCTAGGGAAAAGAAAGCCTGTATCAGCCATTGATTTACCAGGATAAATACAAGTGTCGCCGAGGATTAAACGAGTGCAGCTAAAATGGGACGTGGAGGGTTTTTTTTACTCTGCCAGCCCCGGCGACCCCCTCTATTCTCTAAAGCATCTCTGCAAAGGCTATCGGAAGGGTTTAACAGGTCCCAGCTCTGAATGAAAAGGGAAAATCACTTCTCCTCCTTGGATTTTTTTGTTTTTTTTTTTTTTTTTTTTTTTTTTTTTTTTTTGTGTTGGCGTGGATGACGCAGGGCCAGATCCAGATATGGAGAGGAAAGAAGGGAGGTGGGAACCAAAGGAACAATCCCACTGTGACCAAACCTCCCTGGAATTAATGTCGGGTTTGATGGGGTGTTTGAAGCCATTTTATTTAAGCCCTTTATTTTATTTAAGCCATTGAAGTGATGGTGGGAATGATCCAGGTACTGGGATGCTCCCTGAGCTCCGTGGGGACCCTGCCTGTCCCCGAAGCTCTGAATTGGGCTGCACCCCGTGGATTTGGGGACTGCAGGGAGTCTCCACATGAGGTCCACAAGGCGCTATCACATCACCGAACCTCCAACTCCCCCATTACAGCCGGTCATTAACGTCAACTTTATTAAAGTTTTACACCGTTAATTAGTGCGCGGTAGGATCCTCGTTAGTGTGATTTCCTCTTTGTCATCACTGAGTCAACACCGGGAAGGGACCGACCTTAACTCAAGTTCACTCCATCACCAATATTAACGGGGATTATGAAGGGGGAGAGGGAAATAGGTGGAAAAGGAGACCAGAGATGTCTGAGTGCCCTGGCATGGGATGCCCCAGCGTCATTCCTGGACATTTTTCCAGAGCCATCCTTTCTGCAGACAGGAGACAGCACCAACATGCTCCGAGCCGTGCAGATGGCTGGGGATCCACCCGCCTGTCAGAGCCACGTGCCCACCATTCCCTCCTGCCAGGACTTCATCCTGCCTGGCACTGCCAGGCGCCAGCAGCCCTCCCCATCCCCAGAACAGCGGGGCACCGCAGGTGGGGTGCCGAGTCCTGCCCATTCCCAAACCCCGCCGCTGCCTCCTGGATCAGCGTGGCAGAGGGATGTGACAAACTGCATCCCTGCATCCCTGACCGCCACTGCCTCGGTTTCCCCTCTGCAGAAGGCAGGGACCCTCTCCAGGTCCTGAAGCATCACCTCAGGCCGGCAGTGCCGGCTCCCCCCGCCCGGGAGCGCCTTCCCAGGGTCCCTGAGCGCCGGGGAACGCCGGCTGGGAGCAGCGGGCAGTGCCGTGCCCCCGCTCCGCTCTGCCAGTGCGGAGCTCTCCCGCGTTTCACGCCACCAAATGAAGCCCCTGAGATGGAGAATCCGACAGGATATTAAATTCTTGGCTTTCATTAGTGGACACAATATGTTTTTGAAAATGCTACTTCAGGTTCCTGAGTATCCTCCAGACCCGGCGGGCTCGCAGTGCCTCCCCCCGCCTCGCTCCAGGTTTAATTACAATATTTCCGGCTGGTTGGGTAATTGGATGCCACCCGGCAGCACTTGTGCGGGCCAGACGTTACCAGGGTGAGGATGTTGGTGACGATTCTCCAACAGCGACTTCCTCTGCTCCCAGGGAGGGAACAAGCCCACGGATAAAAAACCCCTCTGGGAATTCCCAGCTCGATGAAGCTTTATCGCCTTCAAACAGCGGCTCTGGCCCCGGTCGCCCAGCGATGTCAGCTCCCGCTGGTGTAGGTGCCCACCACCGGAGAAGCTGCCCGCCTTGTCCCACCTCTCCCCAGAATCCTGCTTTGGGATGGGCCGGTGCCGCTGGAGGGGCCGGCTGTGAGGGAGGGATGTTCCCCGAGCCTCCCGGGCGAGGCTGGATGTTGTGGAGCCCGGCTCCAGTTCAGACCCGGTCTGACAGCTCAGGGCTGCCGGCGCTTCCCAGGCCGGCCACGGTGCCCGCGGGCAGGGGCAAGGCAGAGAAAGGGGCACAGAAAGGGATGCTGTGTCCGCTGGGCTGCAGGTAGGA